TCTCACTGCATGCAAAAAAGATCATTTTTTACCCCTAAGTATCATATAAATTGAAAGAAATGTATTTGAAAACATTTAGTGACTGATGCTCAGAAGCTTAAATGGTGCTATTTTACTATGCCTAAACTATGAAGAAATCACTGAAGCCTTTACAGCAAGAAGAAAAACCACAGGGAGCCTACTAACAATTGAGCACTGCCAATTCTTTTGGTAATGTTCATTTTACTTTTCATAGAGAAGTACAGAAAAGCTTTTCACTATGATTAAGACTTTAAAAGCTGTAGACATGTAAGAAAAATAATGTAGGGCTTATTATACTATAAACATCATTTAGTATGTAATGCAAATCTTACAACACAGCACCTAGAGCTTATATTTTTTTTGAACCTACCACCTAAAGTAAGTATATTTTAAAGATCTTGGTAAATATATTTCACCAAGAAAGTTTGTGACACCAAGGGAGAGCTTCTATCCTAGCATTCACAGATCCGTGGAGTCCACGAATAGACTTCAGATGATTTCACTAATCTCTAACTGAAATTGATCATCTCTTGAATCCTTAAATTATGTTTCATCAGCAAACCACAATAGCATTAGCAATATCTTTGAAATTTTCAATTTAGAAATTACTTCATATCCTATTTTGGTTATTATAGATATCATAAACTATGATTTATACTCATTACAGTTTCAAAATTACTATTATTAATCATATGCCTGGGCGTTGTTAATTTGTGAGTATGGCACAAATTTTATTCCTCATATTTTTAATCACTGATTCAATATAATTGATTTTCTGTGTAATTCTCTGTATTTAAGTATATGTATTAAAAATATTAACAGACATTCTGAGAGGGAATGCATAAACTTCGCCAGACTTGCAAATGGATTTATGGCACTGTGGTGACTGTAATGAGTCAACTGGGCTAGGATCAACTGCGTTTTCCAGAATCTCCTTCCTTGTATGATTTGGGTTAGGTGGGCCACACACAGTTTTGTGAGATTTAAGGGAACAAGTGAAGCAATAACCATATTCCCTTTTATTTGGAAGGCTGGGCAGGGTTAACCAGTGCCTTTGTAGGTCGTATTGACTGCAGCGTATCTTCTGGCTGGCTTCATGATGGGACACAGAAGCTGGACCTGCAACTATTCCACCTTTTCCTGTGACTCCTTCAGCTTCTCCCTCCAAGGCTAGACAAGTGTTTAGCTTTGTGATTATGGGCACTAGCTTCTATTGTGGTACATTCTAGTATCAAGGCAAAAAGCAATGACAAGAGAGAGATGACATGGGTTACAACCCATTTTGGTTCATTTCAGCTCATGCTTGCAACTTACATTTGCTTTCCCTTTCCCACCCATCTAAAACAAAATTTCAGATTATCATAATACTAATCATAAGACCATTAACTTAGCTAATGTTTATTCTAGGTTTATTCTAATTTTTTTTTTCTTAAACCACAGAAATTTATTCTCGCAGAGTTCTGGAGGCCTGAAGTTAAAAATCAAGGTCTGAGCACGCTGCGCCGCCTGAGAGGCTGTAGGGAGGAGCTGTCCTGCCTCTCCCAGCTCCTGGTGGCTCCCAGCCTTCCTGGGCTTGTGGCCCCATCACTCCAGGCTCTGCTGACGTCTTCACGCCGCCTTCTCCTCGGAGTCTCTGTGTCTGTTTTCTCTTCTCTTCTCAGCACTTGTCATTGGATTTAGGGCCCACTCTGATCTAGGATGAGCTCATCTCGAGAGCCTCAGCTTCATTACACCTGCAAAGGCCGTGACTCCGATAGGATCGCCTGCAAAGATCCTGACTCCAATAGGATCGCATGCTGGAGGTTCCAAGTGGATGTATCTTTTAGGGGAGGCCACAACTGAGCCCTCCGTGGCAGTCCAGGCTTCCGTTTCTATGGCAACACTAAGAGCAACTGGTGAGCTCTGGAAGGGCAGGGTCTTGATTGCATTTGTCTCTGGGCCTCCAGGGACTCCTCAGAAGTGGTGACAACATGAATAGCCCCATCAGCCACCGCTGCGAACTGTCCTCGCTTGATGGTGCAAAGAGCAACATGCAGGGGAGATACAGACCCCATCCCCAAGCCAGCACCCCCAATACTGCAGCCAAGGGAGAGTTTCCCACCCCGCCCTACCCCTCTAGGGTGAGCAGGTGAGCAGGCCAGCTTAAGAGGGAAAGGAAGCCTGATGGCTTGGATGTCTTTTAAAATTTTTCTTTTTTTTTTTTTTTTTTTTTTAAGTGTCTTGCTCTCTTGCCTAGGCTGGAGTGGAGTGGCTCAATCACGGCTCACTGAAGCTTCGAGCTCCTGGGCTCAAGCAATCCTCCCATGTCAGCCTCCTGAGTGGCCGGGACCACAGGCATGCACCACCACATCTGGCTAATTAAAAAATTCTTGTAGAGATGAGGTCTCACTGTGTTGCCCAGGGTGGTCTCAAACTCCTGGGCTCAAGCGATTCCCCAGTCTTGGCCTCCCAAAGCACTGGGATCACAGTTGAGAGCCACCACACCTGGCTGTCTTTTGAAACTTTCCACCAAGGACAAAAAGTAACTATATTTTCCGCTGTCAAGGTTGAAGTTTTAAGTGCTTCTGTGTTGGCCAAGCCCATTACAGTTACCTTCCCAGGAATGTAGCGCCCTGAGATATCAACTGGAGGACGGCATGTATGAGTTAGGTCCTCCAGAGAACCAGAGCCAACGAGATGTATATAGATATGCAGGAAGAGGCTTAGTATGAGGAACTGGCTCACGTGGTTATGGAAGCAGAGAAGTCCCAAGATCTTCCAGCTGGAGGCTGGAGGTGCGGTTCCAATGCAAACTCAAAGGACTGGGAATTAGGGGCCCATAGGGTAAGTCCTTGTCTGAGTCTAAAGGCCTGGCTGTGGTGGGGCCCCTGCTGTGAACTGTCCCGGGCAGAGAGGCAACTTTGGCTTGCTAGGTCCACTAGCTGCCAATCATCATGCAGGAAATCAACTTACTGTCCAGACCTCCTGCATAAATGCCCAGGGAGCAGCAGCCACTGGAGCTGAAAACTTGGAAAGGGCAGGGAGCTATTCTAATTTTTAAAGTAATTGTTGGCTGATATTTTCTGGTTATGAAAATATATGTAGGTTAACTTCACTATATTGGTTTAGCTTTTTCTGAATCTAATGGTTCCAGGCCACATATGTTAGGAAGAAACTCTGAAATAAAGAACGAAAAGCTAAAAATCACTGGGAAGTGTTTCAAAGGACAAGAAGAATTATTGAAGAGCAGCCCTAAAATGTCATAATTCAATTCAAGGAGATAGTTTAATTCTACTCGAGTTGAGTTCATGGTATACTTCAGTCCTATTTCATGGTGTGACATTCAGTCTTTCACTTTATTCTAGGATTGGTATTTTTAAAATTCTGTGTGATTTGTGTGTCACAACACAAGTGATAGAGCAGTATCACCAATAAATTGGTGTGTATTCCCAACCAATTTTAGAAAGAATGAAAACATGATCTATTCAATCATGGAAGAGAGATGTGCTCAGATCAAGAAGCCCTGAATGTGGTGTGAAAATTATTTTGGCTGTCTTTATGCAATGGTTAGGGCTGATCATCTATGTTCATAACTATTGTCTGAATATTACCAACAATATAACTGGTGATGTATTTAAACACATGACTACCTTGCCTTTAGATTAAAAACACTGAGAAACTGCTCATGCTAATTATAGAAATAGGCCATTTAAATGGTCCAATTTTTCCCCCTTTGGCTCAAAAGAACACAGAATTTTTGTTACCATTGCAAAGCAGAAAAGGTTACCTTTTGCAGATTTATTATTTGAAATACGGTTAATGTTGAATTTGTATGCAAAATCATTGAACCTTAGTCAAATACATGTATATGGGATTTTTTTTTTTTTTTTTTTTTGAGACCAAGTTTTGCTCTCCTTGTTCAGGCTGTAGTGCAGTG